ATTTTAAAGTTTCTGACAACAAGAACACGAAAAGTGGTTACTAACTGTCTAGTTAACGAGTAGAATTTCACTAACTGTTATAAACTCGATAGTAAAGTAACCATGAATCTAGTATCTAATATTTTCTTTGGGAGAATGATGAATACTTTTTTCATGTCTTAACAAACAATAATGTTTAAATTTAAATTAGAATATAAAAATTGTTAAAAGTTAGGAGTGCTATTAGTACTTACAAGATAACTTAAATTGTATTTCAACTTTAGGGATAGAAAATAAAGGACAAAAGATTAGCACGATTAGGTTTTATTAGAAGGAGGACGAGGAGTTAAAAAAGGTAAACTTAGACCTGGATTGGATTACTGTTAGTAGAGTTAGTATGTGAAGAAGTGGAAAAATACTTCATAAGTATCATTATTTCATCATCATTACAGTTTTATTATTATTTTATTCAACTTCCTAACTACAGAAATCTGACCATAATCGTATATCTGCTTACTAAACTAGAAGAAAAAATTACCTATTATTTTAATTAATAAAAGTAACAATTCTAGTTTCCTCATATTTATCTAATCTTCCTTCAGAGTCGTGACATCAGAGACTAAAAAATTAAACATAATGTGCTTGTTTTTTTTCCGATGGAAAAGTTAAATAATAAAATCTTATTATTATTACAATTCCGGCATGAACTTGACCTGGTGTGATTGAAGTCACATGAACTCTGACGAGAACATTGGGACAGATAGAGACACAAGATGGAGAAAATGTGAACTAATGAACTCAAAACAAAGTAGTGTGTATCTGTAGCACACCCTGCGTAGCGGAGATCTAGATCTAAACGTGGAATATAACTGAGAAACTGATGGAAACGTTCGAGGCAAACCGTTGTCCTGGAGCCACATAGACAATAACTCAGTCTCTTGGCAGCAGTTACGGATCGAAGAGGGTCTAGGCGGTTTATCTTCTGGCTTATGGACATACTACTTATATTACGAGGTCGTTGGATGGAAGAAGTTGTAAGGATACGCCTACGGCTAGGATATGCATATAGTCCATTCATTAGCATTTACTTAACCGTTTTTCGTCAAACTTTAGCTTGTTACATCTTATCATCACGTGGTTGTTATCGATTTAAAAACTTTAACTTGGTAGACTGAAGATTCGGGCTATAGGGCCGAGGTCTAAGTGGACTATAGTGTCCAGACGTTTCGTCAGCTACTGCGGCTGACATCCTCAGTGGTAGTGCTGCGTTGACAACGTGACAACGTGAACGTAGATTAATCTCTTCACATAGACCACGGCCCTATAGCCCGAATCTTCATTCCACTGTGGATTCCGGCCGTGAAAGCCTTTGTTCTTATATTTAACTAGGTACTTGATCAATTCTAATTTGGTAATCTACTCCCTTTACTTTGTTCTACTGTTCAACAAGTTTTTCAAATTTTTCTACATCTATTAAAAACGACTAAAAAAATACTTCAGCCTTGATGCCACCGAGTCCCTGACAACTTGTCAATCCCTCGATAGTTACGCCACTGTTTACTAGTACGTTTACATAAGCAGTTCCCGAAGGAATACATCAAGAGTTGTAACGTTGGAGGGCCAGTCCTAATGATATCTGTCGTTGTCGAAGTTTGATGCCTTTGGGAGTCATAACAAAAGCGTTGACGTACACGTACCGCAAAATCCCGGCCTATCTGTTAGTGAAGGCCGACAATAACTATTACAACAGAGACGAGATATTAACGCCCATTTAGATTGACTTTAACGCGGTGTAAGCAGATTAACTGTAGGTAACTAAGTTGCCAATATGTAAAATGTAACAAATGTTATTTGATGATATGAATGATAAATGGTAGAAGTCCCAAACAAATAGGCGAGATATTTAGATTGGTAGGATACCTTCTCACATGTGAAGAGGTAGTTAGAGACATATGTATTACAAGAAGAAACAGGAGTAAAAGGAGGAAGAGATAGACCTAGATTAAACTTTTGTTCGAGAATGCGAAGACTGATTCAAGGAAGAAGTTGAGACGTGTCTTCGGGGTGAGATCCTTGTGATGACGATAAAATTAATAAATGTACAATTTTGGTATTTTTGATCCCGATGAAGGATTCAGATACGAACGCCCCCCCCTCCCCCAAACAGGACCACTTTACAGTATTATGTTAGAAATATACTTAGACATTCGAACTTTCATGCCTTTATTTATTATAAAGTTACAACGTTTCACCCGTCTAATATCCGCAGTCGTCAATTGTGATTTGTACGTATAGTTAATTGAGTGATCATCAGGGTGTAACATTTTGCTTCGGTTGGATAGATTGTAGTTCCAGGATTACTTTAAACAGCGGTTTCTATCATATGTTACTGACTTTCACACTTGGATAGCTAAACGTTGATTATTGCTGGTTGAATGCTCCTACTTTAAAATTACATCGGAGCCAGTGTTTTTTCTTAGGAAGAATCTTTGCTTTCTCTCAACGAATTTTAATATTGCTTCTTCGGACGTGTTCTGCTATGCCTAACAGTGTTGTTTCTCGTTTCTTGGTGTGTCATAAATGCTCTTTTATCCTGTTTTCTAACAGTCTCTTCGTTTTCCCAATGTAGAACTGATCGAACTGTTGAAAGAGTAGAAGGAAGTTTTTATTCCATTCAAAGTAGTTGGTCAATCTTCCAATCTTGTCAGATATTCCTTTTACTTATGGAAGTCGTAGCAGTTGTTTGTCCTCTTCAAGTTTTAATGTTGATCTGTTGGATTTATGTTGGTGTATTACGTTGTGCATCGGGTTTTCAGAGTATCTTCATTTCTTCCGGTTTCTGGTACGTTGAAGATTTCTTTTTGTAGACCTAACCGAGTCTGCAGCTTTTTCATGTAATTGCAAATGGATTTTCATTGATTTATAGTCTGTAAGTATAATCACGAAATGCGATGTTATTGAACTGATTTTCCACTGTGTAGGTGTGTACGAACCCACGTTATATCCCGCTGTTGAAATTGCTACCTGTAATTTACGGTACTTCTGCCGGAAGTTCTGTTCGAGGAACCGTTTCGAATAGGTGTGCTGTCGTACGTCGTAAAATACGTTTTCGAACTCGAAAGCTTTGTGCAAATTGGAGATAATCTATCAAAGCTCACCCTCATGAATCCATTTAGGGCAGCGGGTAGTTCAACGGATTTGTTGGGACTCAACTAGGGGTCGAAAGTTAACTCCAAACAGCTTTGGTACGAATTTGCCCAATTATTCATATTTTCATAATCGATTTTATTTTGCAACTGCTTACTTTGATATTTGGAACAGCTTGTTATCCCGGCTTTCAATTTAGAAGTGTGCCACATACAAAATATCTTCCTTAGTTTAATTGATATACAAGAGGTCATCAGAAGATTGTAAACGTACGAGGGTGGATTGATAAGTTTCCGGCCTAACCAAGAGATGACGCCACTAGGCCTACCTTGAGGTGACATTCTATAGTACCATCCTTGGATAGCTTGTAGCTATAGTTTCAGCTCGATCTCCTTGCTAGTGTAGGTTTGACAGCACGCTGAACAAGACGCCTCTGTGGTTTTCGTAAAAATGGAAAAGCAGGAAAATCGTGCTGTCATCAAATACTTTTATTTGAAGGGGTTAACGCCGAAGGAAATTAAAAAAGAGATGGACTCAACACTGGGGACATCCTCCCCGTCATATTCAACCGTTAAGCAGTGGGTTTCCGAGTTTAAAAAGGGTCGTGTGAGCACCTCTGATGGGCCTCGCTCAGGACGCCCCGTTGAGGTCACAACTCCAGATATGATCGAAAAAATTCATCAAATAGTGCTGGGAGACCGCAGATTGAAAGTGCGTGAGATAGCTGAGACCTGTAAGATGTCATATGAACGTGTGCAACATATTTTGCACCAACATTTGCATATGGAAAAGCTCTGTGCAAGATGGGTGCCGCGTTTGCTAACAGTCGACCAAAAATTGATTCGAAAAAACATTTCTACCGCAAATTTGTCATTGTATAAGCGTAATCCAAGCGAATTTTTGCGTCGATTCGTAACCGTTGACGAAACGTGGGTCCACCACTACACTCCTGAAACCAAAGAACAGTCTAAACAGTGGATTGGACCAGGGGAACCAACTCCAAAGAAGGCAAAAACAATTTTTTCGGCGAACAAGGTTATGGCTACTGTTTTTTGGGATGCAAGAGGTATTATATACATTGATTACCTTGCAAAGGGTAATACTATCACTGGTCAATACTACGCAGACTTATTGCAACGTTTGAGCCACGAGGTGAAAATTAAACGACCTCATCTGGCGAAGAAAAAAATCTTGTTTCATCACGATAACGCACCAGCGCACACGTCAATCGTTGCGACGGCTAAAATCAACGATCTAAAGTTTGAATTGATGCCGCACCCTCCTTACTCTCCAGACCTAGCCCCGAGTGACTATTTTCTGTTCCCTAATCTCAAAAAATGGCTTGGCGGTAAGAGATTTGCGGACAATGAAGAAGTAATCGAAGCTGTAAATGGTTATTTTGAGGAGCTTGACGAATCAGTCTATAGAGATGGCATTAATAGACTGGAACACCGCTATGAGAAATGTATCAGCCTTGGAGGAGATTATGTTGAGAAATAAAAAAAAAAAATTTTTAAAAACCTTGTTTTTCTTGGTCAGGCCGGAAACTTATCAATCCACCCTCGTATGTTTAATGAACAAAACTTCCTGACCGTTCATTGCAATAAAATCGTAAAATATAATCACTAATGTTTTTGCCAACGACATCAGTTAATGTTCTCTTTTATGAGGTGTAAAAGTTCCCTAGCTCCAATATTAACAACTAGTTCTGACTGACCAAAATAAATACCTACTTCAATAATAATAATTGTAAGATCACTTTTTACTGTGTGATTAATATTTGCCTCACAGTAGTAGCTACATGCTACCAGTTTTTAAAAGGGAAATACCCATGCAGGTACCTACACAAGTTTAATAAAACTGTAAACACTTACCAACTTTAACTTTCCTTGGTATGAAGTTCATTGATGGCTCTTCCAAGGTCACTTCAGTCTCATTTATAATTTCTGAAACAACGAGATAAATTTTCTATGTTATTAACAATTAACTTAACAACCTCAAACACAAACACCTCTTCGTTCAAACATAGATCTTATTATTAGCAACAAGTTATTTGAAGTGAAAAATCTATAAACTTCCCGTTAACTTATACAAAGTTGTTAATTACCACAAGTGAAAGCACCATTATGGTATTAAAAGTGTGTTTAACGATCATTAGGTAATGTTTTGTTAGTGTGCTTTATTGGTGATAATAAAGCATTTACACAATATGGCTTTGTCGAGCTTAATACCTTGTGTGGTTTTAGCTTTTTGAATTTCAGGGTCGATATATTCTACTATGCTAAACAAAATCTCCAATTTTATTTAAAGGAATATTTAATAAAGGGGTAAAGAAACCAGTTAAATTTGTGCAATCATTATTAAAAATGCTTTGAATAAAACGACTTACAATCATAAATAATTACACATGGGTATCAAAGAGCTACCGTTTTCAATGATATTCTTTTCAGTTTATTCTTAGGATTATTAGGTTACTTAGGTCCTAAGAGTGGTTGAACACGCACCTCCACTCTTTCCTATTCTATTGTAATCTTCGCATTTCCCTAAAACTAGAACAACCTGCATTATTAACTATTTGCGAACAGTAATCTAATGTAGGTCTACCTCTACTTCTCGTAACTGCTGTTTTTGCCTCTAATTAATATGTCTCTGACTAGACCTTCATGCCTGAGAAGGTGTCCCATCAACCCATTTAGCGTATTTTTTATTGACTTGCATAGAATCCTTTGTTCTCCTATTCTTTCTAATACCTCTCCATTTCTAACCTTCTCTATCCACGGTATGCTCACCATTCGCCTGTAACACATTTTGAACGCTTCTAACATTTTTTTTTCGCAGCGCCCATCGTCCCAATTTCGCACCCATATGGCGTCGCGCTCTAAGCATTTTTATTGGGGGCGACTCGATTCTGCGCTTTCCTCTGCTTTATATCCCTACTACTCCTTCCGTCCTGACTTATCTGACTTCCTAGATACCTAAATCGGCCACTTCTTATAATTTTTCGTCTCCTATCTTTATATTCGCTCTTCCCTACTTTTTTTTAAACGCGGCGTGCCAAAAATTAAATTAAGCAACAACATAGTTCTAGGAGAGAAATGTCTTGTTTCAAATGTTGTTGCAAATAGTTGTCGAACTGAAGGGATATATTTTATGATAAACGTTTTTTCCGAATGAGTAAACCTTGATGCGAGACGTTCTCGACAATATTTTCATCCATTACACGGAAAATTTGTTTCCGATAATAATCCAACCACTATGTGGTTTATATTCCTTTGTGATCATTGTTGCGGTATCTTTAGCTAATGCAACGATATCTTCTTTTTTTCATGTTAACACAGTTTCTCGTTTTAATAAAATTGTTAGAAATTGAAGCTTTAACTGTCTGTTATTTCATTTATAACAAAAATACACATCATTTGGAATTTTTCTAAGTGGTTCTGTTTCTTTCTAGTCTTTAGAAAAAAACAGAACACAATTTGATTTAAGACTTGTGGTTTTAATTGTCTTCTTATAGTACTAATAATCCAGATTTGTCGTCAGGTAACTTATTACATCTACAGGATTTTACATTCGTATAAACTTTTTACTGGTAGATAAGTAATAATCCGTATGTTATTCCAATTGACATAGTCAATCAAATGATATGTAAATTTATCGATTTTATAGTGAATATATAAATTTTTTTGGTGTTCGCCGGAAAGAACTGACATAAGTCTTTAAAAGGTAAATATGTCCCTTATCATGTTTTTAGGAATAATTCTAGTAAACGCCCATATCACAATTATGTGTTTGATTAATTTTAGACAATCCTCACCAATTAAAATTGAATTGAATATCGATCATATTCCTATAAAAATAAATATCTAAAATGTTCAAGAGAACATATCGAAATGACTATTATATCTAAATCGATCGAACGATAAATATGTTACAATAAAGAGTCTAAATTTATAAAAACTTGGAAACATATGTGCGAATAAATGCAGCACTCTATATACTTGGCGACATGAATTACATATAATTTAATTTTTGGCACGCCGTGTTTATGTTTTGGCAAGCAGTGAAAGTCCGAATAGTTGAAAAATAAGTGTAACCAGGGGCGCATCGGACTTAGTTTGGCAGGCTTATTATATTTTCTAAGCATATTTCATATTCTCCATTTAGAAAAGAGCCAAATGTAAAACATTTTTGATCTTTGATAAGACTCAAACCTTTTCTGGCTAGTTCTATATGCTTTAATCTAAACAAATTAACTACCAATAAGCCAGTTCGATTTTTATGACAATCAAAAACTAGCAGAAAGCGAAAAAAAAGGTATTATTATGTTATTGTATATCTAAAATTTTGCTACTGAATGATTCATTATTAAGCCACCCTTACACACTGAAAATGATTACTGTTGGTTGTTTTTTTTTCCAAAAAATTACAATCGGTGGTAAAATTAGGACCAAAAAGAGTTAAAAGTGATTTACTTATTCAAAAACAACCCCCAACGTTTCGCCCAAGTTGTTGGGCTTTCCCAAGGCTAGTTTTATGTTAGAGAAGATGTAAAGCAGATTTACTAACTATTATGTAATGGTACAAGTTCAATAAAGTTTTTACCCTTTTTGACATTGAATTGATATCGATTATAAAAGCAAGGGAAGAATTACAACAATTGGGTAATGAAAACATTTTCTTCAGTAATAAAATCAATAAAATATTGTTAATTATTTTTTACACCCTACCCTACCTACACCTACTACGCCACTGATCGTTTTGGTTAGTTCATCACTGTGTAAATTTGGTAACGTTATTTTAATTACGATCAACTTCAAATAACTTGGTCCACCACAGTTCAGAGATAACAATTTTCGCGTTACGTGAGTATTCCTTTTGTTTTTGTTGTGGTGTTTTGCATTATTAATATCTACATAAATGAGAGGAGATTACTGAACATTGCATAATGTACATCTGCATACATAATTTACAAAACGGAGGAGCTTTTTGCAATAGGTACTTAAAACAACGTTAAATTGTTTTGATAATATTGATGCTCTATTTATTTAAACGTCCTATAAAACCGCTTTTATTAATAACGTAATTGCTCATTTAGATTAAGTTTCTATTGCCGTTTTAGTTTCATTTTAAGGAACTCGAAAGTGGTAAACTGTTTAATGTTTGAGATTATTTCCGGTGATTGGCTCATGATGATTTAGAAACCCGGAAATTAAGAAAATTTTTCGAAATATATCAAATAAGAAAAAATCCCATTTTTATTGAATGAATGAAATATGTATATTTTTTGGACCTATATATACATACATATGTTAGTATGACTACGCATGTGATTGTAGAGAAGTAAATACTAGGAAGGGAGTCAGACAGGGATGCACACTGTCGCCGCTACTTTTTAATCTATACATCGAAGACGCCATCAACATCATTAAAGACAGTACAACTGTAGGGATAGATGTGCAAGGGCAAAAGATTAGTATGCTTAGATTTGCAGATGATATAGCAGTATTAGCATCTAGCAAGGAGGACCTAGAGATAGCTTTAAATAAAATGGAAGCGGTACTGACAGATCAGTACTGTATGAAAATAAATAAAAGTAAAACTAAAATACTGATATGCAAGGGAAGAAAAAGTAGGGAAAGAGCGAATATAAAGATAGGAGACGAAAAATTAGAAGAAGTGGCTGATTTTAGATACCTAGGAAGTCAGATAAGTGAGGATGGAAGGAGTAGTAGGGATATAAAGCAGAGGATAGCGCAGGGTCGTGTCGCCTTTAATAAAAAGAAGTCACTTCTATGCTCGCGAACGGTTAATTTAGAAATTCGAAAAAGGTTGTTAAAGGTGTATGTTTGGAGCACGGCGTTGTACGGGTGCGAAACATGGACAGTGGGAGCGGCGGAAAAGAAAAGGTTAGAAGCGTTCGAAATGTGGTGTTATAGGCGGATGATGAGGATATCGTGGGTAGAAAAGGTTAGAAATGAAGAGGTATTGGAAAGAATAGGAGAACAGAGGACTCTATGGAAGTCAATAAAAAATAGGCGAGATAGGTTGGTAGGACACCTTCTCAAGCATGAAGGTCTAGTCAGAGACATATTAGAGGCAGAAACAGGAGTTAGGAGGGGTAGAGGTAGACCTAGATTAGATTACTGTTCGCAAAAGTTTAGCTCAGGATATGAAAGAGTGGAGGTACGTGTCCAACCAATCTTAGGACTGACAACCTTATGATGATGATGCATGTGATTTAATATCTTTCCTACATATTAAATGTCAAATTTTAATAAGTCGATACTATATATGTACCTACTCAAAGAAGTTGGCTATCTCTGGTCTAGCTAGCTCATAGTTAATTGTTTTTCATAATAATATCAGAATACAGTAAAAAGAAAAGAATAGAGTATGTCCATGGGAGATTTTACAATTTCTAGAATAAAGCTTCCAAATTCCGAGATGTACTCATGTTTATCTAGGTATAAACGTTAGGGATAATAAACATAAACCGTTAATTTATTCTGTCCTGGTTCCGATTCAGTGGTTGTAATCATTAAAGTACGGGATCGAACTGTTATGTACGAAGAAGGAGGAAACAGTAACGTGAAAGTAATTCGCGAATACATGATGAAAGAGAGATAAACACGAAAACTAATATATCATGGAAAAATACATTTTGCCATCAATCATTTTCTTACATCCGCGGAATTCTAAAATGAATTGAGAAACGAACGCCGGAGTTTCGGCAATAATAAGACTATTACTTATGATGCCGTCACAGAAAACTGTGCGGTCATTCCCTTAATCTACCCCCGATTGGTTTTAGATACAGCCGGTAGTAATTCTGGAAAAAGAAAAAGATAACTTTTCATGTAAACATACATACGTATATTAAAATACTATACGGGATTTTGGAACATCTCACGCATTCAATATTGGCTACGAAAGAAGTTCATTCTTCCCCTTTGAATAGATGCCAAAACACGAGTGCAAAAGCTTTTTCTACTACTTTTTCGACGTGGTGTTTACTGGAATTTTAATTTAATTTTGTTAGTGTTAGTGTGATTTAGACGTTCTGGTGATATAAAAATGAATATTGTAAAATTATTGAAATGAGAGATTGCGTCAACGAATCAATCCAGAGTGATAAGAATAGCACATGTTTACTTCACTTGTAATACGAAAAACATTTTGAGACCTTTTCGAGAATGTTGACACAGTTTAATACCGAGTTTTCCACAACGTTAACAATTTTTGGATGTATTATAAGTACCTAACTTTAATTTTAGTTAGTTTCCTGGATACTATCAAATTTTCTTTTTTACGTGACGTATTTGACTCATTTTCCAATAAGTATAATTCTGATTTATGTTCATTGAAACCTTCCGATCATACCTGGGATGATTTTTTCAAAGGTAGTGAAAGAAAAATGCTAACACTTCCATTCATTCGGAAGTAACAGTCTAATTTGTGCTGTAAAAATTGCAGACTTCTGAACAGTAATTTTATTTGGACTTTTATTTCCGCGTTCAGACTCGTTTATTAGTTGAATTTCAGGAAAAATGCCGGATAAAAGGAAGATTATGTGAACGGAGGTAATTGAGCCTGCCCCTATTATATATGTCATGTACCAGTTAAAATGAGAAGTAAATAATGAAGCCCTAATATACGTTTCCTTGCCCTAGCAACAAATCCTTTCAAACAGGAAACTTTTCCATCTTATATTATATACTTTTGACAAAGGGAAGTTGGACTTTTATTTACATATTTATTTAATACATGAATACTTACAAAATAATAATTATGTATTTACATATTTAAATAATGTTTCCAATAACATCTCCGTGCAGTGTTGTGTCGTTAATGCTCCGTTCGTACAGTAGGGTTTTCGTTGATAGTGCGCGCGCAACTTCCGTTGCATGCTGCGTGCGCAATAGTTTTACTTTAAGAGCGCCAAGAGAATAATTACTTAAAAAAATCCCGGTTTCTCATATACCCAATACCTTACCAAATACACAATTAAAACTATCGGTAATTAATAAGGTCGTAAATTAAGGCGTTTAGGGGGAGTAATTTCAGGAACAAAGTGGAAGGTATATTTCAAAATATCATTTTGAAAATATTATTTAAGGATTTAAACTTGTGTGTCCTCGCATTTTATGTATTGATGTCAATATTTTCTTCGTTGCAGAACTGAACGAAAACGAAATCAAAAATTGCTGCCTACCCAAGTACATATAGCTCCTAGAGGTCAAATCGGGGAGTCACAGTGGCGTCGTTAGGAGAGTTTTTGGAAACCGCGCGTCTACCAACGGGATGCACACAAATGTGCATACGGATCGAACCGCATGGCGCGTGCCGCCTGACGAGACCTTACAGGTTGCTGATCCCAAGGCCAAAAAGGCCGAGGTAGGTAGCGAAGAGGTCAGTACTCCCAACCACGAGACGCCACTGTATTGTATGTACTTATTAAATTACCGTTTGTTCGTTCTTTTATGCACAACAACTTACTATTTACTTACTTATATTCAAAAGCAAAACGCCAAAAAAAAAAACTATTCAAAAAGTATTAAAATTGATAAAATGCAACTTAGTAAAGAAATCAAGATAATATAATAGAACTAACTTAAAAGCTTTGAAACTACGCCAACGATTTTCTTTTTTCTTCTGCATGACTTTGAACATACCTAATGCCTAACTTTTTAGATTAGGAAGTCAATTAAATATATAGTTTTCAAGCTGATTATATCATATAAAAGTGTTAGTTTTTTTTACTAGAATGACTAATAAAATCAAACGTGATGTGTGCTTTAATTTGCAGTTTGGAAAAGATCTTCTCAAAAGCTCGAGCTTTTCTTTACATTAACTTACTTTTTACATCCTTCAAAGTATTAAAATTAATTTTTTTTTGTATACTTAGTACCAAGTTTTCATTTAGGTGGTGGTATATATTAGGTACAAAAAAATTACTAAAAATATACCGATCATATCAACAAATTGGATAAAAGAACATACTTAAAATTTGGTGGCTACAATTAAAAAATGAACTTTGGCATCTCAATTTTGTAAATTGTTAGATATTAGGTTTTCCAGTTGTTTGCAATGAATAAAAATACAGTGGATTTGATTTATTGCGATCTTGGTTATAGCGACCGTTTTGCTACAGAGACGTTAAATCCAAGTCCCTTGAATTTAAAGCATACACCGGATGTAACGCCAAGTTCGGGTGTCATTTGTAACAAATCCCTAGTAATCCCATGCAGATATGGCGAGCGGAGTCGTCCGCCAAAGACACCATGAGCTTTCTTATCTTTTGTTTATATCCACACAGATGGTCAGCAAGTATGGTGACCATTACCATTTGTTTATAGATGTTAGGCAAGTAGGTAGTTAAGCATGTACGTTAAAATGGTTCAGTTACAAATACGGTTGCCACCTTTTCAGGCTTTACATAACGTATTTCTCGACTAAAAGGTTAAAAAAAAGTACTCGACATAAAAATAAAGTATTTAATTTTTTGTTTTTCAAAACATTTTTTGTTACACCTAGCAGCCAGTAACAAATTGCTGTCGCTCTTAAATACATTAATAGCCTCTAAACATGGCAAACAAAGATTTAAGTAAACTTAAAGTTCATTTATAATTAGTTTTAATGAAGCTTTATTCCTGTCGTCCCGCCCCTTTGCGTTCATAACAGAGAATACTCTTTCTGTAAATGCTGAAGTGGCCGGAACGGACAGCAAAGGTGACTCTACTTTGAACAGATTTGGGAAATCAGGTTGTTCCGTAAATATGGCTTGCCATTTTTCTGTGCAATATTATTGATGTAAAAATACTCTGAATTTCGAATAATCGCTTATAAAATTACGATGTTTACTTAAAGCCTTAAATAAAGTATTTTTGCGTACTTTATGTGTCTTGTAAAGTATAACGTACGCATAGTCGAAGTAGAGTACAATACTTTATAATAAAGTATGGGTGGCAACCCTAGTTACAAAGTGATATTTTGAGTAGCAACTGTGTTTAGTAAACTTTTAAATAAGTATGACTCTTAGATGCACATTTACTATTAAAAATCGGAAATCGTTTCAAAATTAAAAGATGATGAATAGCTCAGGATAGGAAAGAGCCGAGGTGTGTGTCCAACCGTACCGAGCGGTATGAAACGATGAAATTACAGTGATCCCTTTGTCGTCGTTATATTCGAAATCCACTGTAGCTCTAGCATTATTTGTGTTAATTTCATGAAAATTAAAATTCCTTGATTTTCCTTCCGGTTATTTAATCAAAATTCGTTACGATAGGAATCCAACCCTTGATGAGAAAATATTCAGCGATGTGTTACGAAGAGAAATACCTACAAGCGGACGGCTATGCGAATAAGGGAAACTCACATTTCACCACTTTAAAGATAAGAAAACCGATAAATTCAAATTTATGCGGTTTATATGTTCCTGAAAATTGTCTGGCAAGGTTCTTATCGTAAATATTTTAGCTTATCGTAATTTTAATCAGGTTTTATGACAAGACTTTCTTCTATCAGAAAAGAAATCATTGAGCAACAACAAACATTTTAATCGAAAAAAAATTTCAANCTTATCGTAATTTTAATCAGGTTTTATGACAAGACTTTCTTCTATCAGAAAAGAAATCATTGAGCAACAACAAACATTTTAATCAAAAAAAAATTTCAAACTAATAATAAATTTAAAAATAAAAAAATTTGGCGTTTTGCGTTTGGGTAAAGGAAACTTTTTGCATTTTTCCTTCTTGCATTCGGAATGCATTATAGTGGTATGTATTAACTAGATATCTACTACTGAGTACTGACTTAGTTTTAGTATAGAAATAGAACAAATTTTTAAATTAGTTTAGTTTATGGGTAATTCACATTTGTGTTGTTCGAAGGCGAAAAATAAAATTACACTGAAAGTATTTATTAGGCAGTTACTCTGATCATTTTGCGTGGCTAGAATGAATGAATAAGTGTTAGAGGAGTGAAGATAAAACGCTATCTCTTTCCCTTTTATATTGAAATGGGTATCACCGCGAAAAGTTTTAGACAAAGCAATGGTTACGTTGTCTTGGCAATCCCATCTGAACATTTATTACACAGAACTTCGTGATGTAATCTTACTCCAAAGACAAAGCCCTTTTGCATCTCATTTTTCGTGCTTATTTAAAGCAACAATGCAGTTTGGTTTCAAGCTTGATATTCTTGATTTCAAAAGAAACTATAGATATTAAATATATATATTATCTTTCCCTTTTTCTTTTTGACAGAAAGCAGACAGACATAATAAAGAATGGAACCAAAATAGAATGGAAAATCAATAAATATAGTACATTCGTTGAATATCGGCAACGACAATTAATTAATCCTAATTTTACAAGAAATAATACGAGCTCGTCAAGTACTTTTAAAATTAATTCCCAAAATCCAGAAATACTATACAAAGAAATAGACAAACCTAACTGAGCGACTGTCCCATCATTTAGGCATTTACCATTTTTACTATTAGCTTTCACCCCCTCGTCTCCTCATCTTCTCATCACCAATCCCACTTTTTAGCAATGAGAATGGAATCTAGGGAATCTACGGACTTCTCCCTACCCCCTCCAAGTCCTACCGCCCCCATCCGAGCGACCGACCCATCATCTAGACATTTACCATTTTTACTAATAGCTTTCACCCCATCGTCTCCTCATCTTCTCATCACCAATCCCACTTTTTAGCAATGAGAATGGACTCTATGGATTCTATGGACTTTCCCCTACCCCCTCCAAATCCTACCGCCCACATCTGAGCGACCGACCCATCATCTAAACATTTACCATTTTTACTATTAGCTTTCACCCCCTCGTCTCCTCATCTCCTCATCACCAATCCCACTTTCTAGCAATGAGGATGGAATCTAGGGAATCTACGGACTTCTCCCAACACCCTCCAAATCCTACTGCTCCCATCCGAGCGACCGACCCATCATCTAGACATTTACCATTTCTATTTCTAGCTATCACTTTCCCCGTCTCCCCACCATCGTCCTCGCTTTTTATCTATGGGGATAAAACCTTTGGACCTCCTCCTACCCCTTCAACCACTACCGCCGCCGTCCAAGCGACGACCCCATCATCTAGACAATGACTACGTATCATCCGCTCAAAAAAATAATTAATTTTAATTAGTATCAGTTCAAAGTTCATAAAGGAACTTATATTTTACTGCATCCCTGTAATTGATATATAGTATATGATGCCTACTAGATGTAACGCTATAAATAAATCGTGTTTATTAATCGATAATAATTAATAAACCCGCGATAAATCGCCAGTGGACCAAAGTTCCTGGATACCGTACCTGAACATTTATCATCATTCGTGATACCTCCGAACAAAATTTGGTCACATTTACCAGCCTTGCTGGCGAAGTTGACATTGACAAAGCATTCTGAGCTTCGGAAGCTATATAAGCAAAAAGACGTGAGTAGAAGAGCGACGCGCGGCGACGCTCGCACCCTTGATCTCCCGAATAGAAAGGAAAATGGGAAATCAAGAAAAATGTTCGGGCGTGTCATCTAAATTTCGTTTGCGACACAAATGAAAACTTATTTCACGCCGGCATTCTCAATATAATAACCGATTTACAATAAAATGGCGTTATATTAACATTTTCATTTCGTCCTGTTTTATAAAAAGGAAAAACAATGACGCAGGAAAATTGGTAGATTTCTTTATTGAATTCCCTTTTCATATTCTGAGGATAATCTGTCGATTGGACGAAGGTGGAATAGAAAAACATTTTTTTCTGTAGGTACTTTCAATATTTCGCCACAAAAAAAATATCAAAAAGAAGATTAGAAAAAGTTAAATAATTAAAACCTCACTTACTAGCAAATTTCATGGTACAGTAGGTAGCATCAGCAACGAGATTTGACATACTGTTTATTCAAAGATGTTTGCTGTTGTTCCAATTACAGTTTTACTTTCTTCATTACATTTTTGACAGCTTTTAAAGGACTTACACCTCCAGTAAAAGGTGTATAAGTACAAAAGTTTTGTTTTCTGTTAAGCTATGTTGAGTTCCACATTACTGTGAGATTCCGCTGCGCCGTACTGTACTACGAATTTTGCTAGGAAGTGTAAATACCTCTCCTAACATTTACATATACATTTTAGCATTATATAGTGTTATATTTACGTTTCCTTTCAGCACAGTAACAATAAAAAATGCACGTAAAATAGATTGATATCTAGTAATAGCTGATTATGGGTTATTCCTTCTCTATTAAAAAGCATCTTCAAGCTACTATTAACATGTTGATAAAATTTGGTATTAGTAGATATCTATAGCTAGTCTTCTCGTTCACGTTTTAATATTAAGTTTTCCTATTTATCTATGTAGGTATTTAAATGACTTGAATTTGTAAGTTTAATACTTATCGATTGCTTGTTTTAATGATACCAATTTTGAACTCACAATAACAGTTGATAATAGTAGAATTTTTATTAAGAATGCAGTTTTATTTGCCTAGTCGTAAGCACAAATTCTTTAGGGTTTAGACATAATATTTTTAGTTTATTTATTAAGAAAGAGGGAACTCTGAAGATTAAGACATGCCCGGTATGTCGCAGTTATTTTGTCAAATAAATATCTAGTCGGGAGTATCACCCAAATTTTCTTTAACTGTTAATTAATGTCTTGGTAATAAAATATGCATGTCAGAAACATCTTATACTTTGATTTCTATATCCTGGAGATATTCTACTTATCCCATTCTTTACAAGTTACCTTATATATATGTAACTATTGATTAGTTTATTGATTTCACGCTTAAATCAAACAAATTACGAAAAAGATCATAATATTGATGCAGAATGAGTTAAAAAATACAGTGGACATAATGATGATGACGAAATAATATAGCATTTAAAAGCTTAAAAGGGTTCTTAATACATTCAGAATTATTTGAGATAGTTCATCTTTACAATAACAGTTCACCGATTAAAGTGCTGTCTCTTAATCTTCTTAAAGTTTAAACTAGAATAGTTTAATTAAAATTAGTCACGATTAATTGCTATAGAAAGTGTTCTGTGCTAACATGGATGTTGTAAATGTTCATACAGGAGCTAGCATACCACAGTTACGAAGGTCATAATTGGTGGTCAATAGTTTTTTCACTGTTAGTGATTGGAATTGTAATATCGGGGATAGTGGCTGCAATTCTTCTAATGGGCTACGTGGATGAATTACTTTACTGGCATGGAAAGAGAATGCAACTAGATGAATATTTGGAGGTAAGATAAAGCTTTGTCGTTTATGATTTTAAGTAAATTATATCACTTCCTTTTCTTTCTCTTATTTTAAGAGTATAGTCTAGAATCAAAGTCAGGATTCCTGGCGAGGGTTTGACAACAGCAACAAAATTTTCGTCATTATCTTATTAACTTGAGGTAACTTATAGGGGATGGAAAAAGTAAATAAATTTTCCCATTAGTATTGGCCACTATTGAATGTCAAAGTGTTTGATATAATTTTTGATAAACTAACTCCTTTTAGTCTCTATCTCGAGCTTGATTCTACACTATATTCTCGAAAACTTAAAAGCAAAAACTTAATTTTCTGATACTGCCTCGCAGTAAGATATCACTAGTATTACTTGAGGCTTATAATATGGGCAGAGTTTGGAGTTATCAAAAAAGTAGATAAAGACGCTAAAGAACATTTTGCGTGTTAAAAAAAGTTCTCGTTAATAATCGGCTTCAACATTCAAAGGATAAAAGTTAAGTACCTGCCTTATGTTTGTATAAACTAGGTCATTATTTTGCAAGATTTAATCCACCAGCCTACTATTTTTGTATGGTATTTCTCTAACTTAAGCTTTGACTTATATTTTGAAAAAATTTTTCTTTTAATGGCCACAATAGATCGTTAATCCTAACGGATATTATAAATGCGAATGTGGGTTTGTTTATTACAATTTCATGCCGTAACTACTCAACCGATCATCATGAAATTTTATACACAAATTGTCAGGGGTAGGGAAAAGGACATAGGGTACCTTTTATACAGAAAAATTCTGTTCCAAAGGGATAGAAAAATCAGTTTTATGTGGTCTACGGTAATCCGTATTCAGGACATCAACGCGAGCTGAGCCGCCGGTAAAAGCTAGTATTATAATACTCCTTTAAATAACGAAAATTAAGTATGATAATAACTGTAAATGGAACTCTCACAATTAAATACTTAAATACTAAAAGGTTAAAGTTCAAGTATTTTGGATATTTTGCCGAGGAATTTTCAACGACGCGACAGAAGTAAATTAATGCGATTACGGTGTTGTAATAAATTACGTGCTTTGCATACTTTAAAGTGTTCATTAGTGTCTGTTATATTTCTTGAAAAAGACACTTGGTTTAATTACCATCTCATTGTATTTAAGGTTAAAATTATTAAAGGTTTTCTGGTCAAATTTTATTTATCCTATTTCGATAAAATGATTAGCTTAACAAATGAAAATCAACAGCATACGGTTAAGTAGGTTGAAAAATGTGTGATAACCCAGAAAACTTTAAATGGGTCTGGTTACTATAAAATTTTATACAACTGTAGTATTTTTTGTTTGTTACAGGGAGGCCTAAATCCACAACGTTTACCCCACACCTGGATTTCCGAAAGTCGTCTTGTTTTTCAGGATAATGATGGAGGATTAGCTGTGTTAAATACCGATAAAAATTTTTCTGTTACTCTTCTAGTTACTAATCACACTTTGGTAAGTTATTTAGTTTTGGGCGCTAATGCGATGAAAAATAATGTCCTTTTTTTCTTTTTCTAGAGACAACTCAATGTTAAAGACTATCAGTGTTCAAAAGATCTACGGTACGTCCTATTTCAACATAATGTAAAAGAGGTAAGTAGTTATTACGTAACAACTAATTAATTTAATTTAATAATAACATCCCTTTATCATCACGCCTAACAATAAGGGCCATCCATAAATTACGTCACAAGAATTTTATGATTTTTTTGACCCCTTCCCGGTCCTTGTCACAGCTGGTCATATTTGTGAGACTCCCCCCCTTCCTAGTGTGAAGTCACATATTTTGCAATTTTTACATCTAGAAATTATTGAATTAAATAAGCAATTCCGAAATTAGTTTTATTTCTATTTAAATTATTTAATAAAATTAAAATTTCAAGAAATTAACAAAAAAAAAACGATTACTTTACTATACTAGTAGAGCTAGTGGCCGACAAAACAATTTGAATCTTATGTTTATTCAGATAGAGTTGCAAATGTTTTTAAGTTTTTTGTTAATATTGCAATGTTCATGTTTTAACACGTAGATTTTGAAAATTTTGAAATGTGACGTCCCAACCCCTTGTCACACAATGTCACACTTTGTCGACCACCTCCCCCCCCTTAACGTGTGACGTAATTTATGGATGGCTCCATAGTGAAAGAATTATAAGTTGCTGCAGCTTGTGGTGTCTTAATTTTCGTGAAGGAACTATTCCAGGATCTATCAACAAAGCTCTTCGTCGAGGCAGTACGTTGCCATCTTCTGATGACTTATGGCATGCTAGTTTCAATAAATTACTTATTAAGAGCTTGATCCATTCTTTCTTATCAGTTTCCAATTTTGATGAGAACTTGTGACGTTTTAGAGCAATTACAAACATAAAATCATTACATTCGTTCGTATTCAAGTGTGTTCTGGTCTTATTAAAGCCCAACTATGAACCAAAAATGTCCACGTTCACATTTTAATGTAATAATGACATCTTTGAGAGTTTCCTCAAAAAGTGTCTAGTACAACTACAATTACAACTATATTTAAATTACTTCTTGTAACTGAAAAGTAGGTAACCAGTTAACCAGTTAATTTTATTTATAAAGCATTAAAGTACTTGAAGAACTCCATTTCTTTTTAACAAAATAATTAATAAACTCTTGATGTGCAACTTTTGTTTATTTGTACTAGATTTCTTACGTAAATTTAATGTTATTAATTTTTGCGCAATATGCCATCCCATATTCTAGGTCAAAGTTTAAGAAGTCCCTCATAGTGCCAGTCACGTTGCTACGAATAAAGTTTAAATTAAGTTTAACTTGTCAGCTAGTCCTCTTCAATTTGTATCAAGATGAAAATCAGTATAAAATGTAGTGAAGTCGTTTTAAATGTCATCTTCATGTTTAAATTAAAATGGAAAGTGCTTGCAGTATATTTTTCCTTCAAAATTTCTTGATATATA